AGTAAGCCATTATGGAACTGCAAAAAGAGTGAGTTGAAAATATTACGTGGTTCCATATGGAGTAACTTCAAGCTTGTCGAAATAATTGTACTCAAATTCTGTTTCCCCATACAGGTTGCTATGTGTTGTTCCGAAAGTTGCCAAGCCGTCTGGTGCTGATGACAGTGCTACTGCTACAGGTGGTGATGCTGGCACACTATACAAGCACTCTGGTCTCTGCACTGTCTGTACCACCAGCACTTCCAGCCATCTCCTCCATCTCTGACCTCCTCAGGAACCCTGCTCTCTCCTTCGGCACTACCGGAGACACAGCAATTATAGGCTACCTGAAGGTGCTACTTGTCTCATTATGACTTGTTTCTCGTGATCATACACTTTAAAAAGATCAAATTTGTAGTGGCAAAATTACTCTCATCACTATGTGACAAGTATATTTTCCGAGCTTATTCCTTCCTGTAATTAGTTATTATTTTTTCTACTGTAATATGCACTTGTTTTTGGATGATCAATATTTAAATTGATTTACAGGAACTTTATTTTATACTGCTTTCTATTGGCATGAAATTGAAATATTATTGCTTAGTTTTCCAGACCACAAGTTTTTCAATATTAGCTCGCAACCAGTGCCATCAGGGACAAGACCTACGCCAGTGCAATAACGGCTCTCTCATTACCCGCAGAACTCACCCCGCTTAGATCACCAGCAGGCGTACGCCTACATGATGGCTGACGGGGGTGGAGCTCTGGTAGCCAGCACTGCCCAGGGGATGGCCAGGACGCTGCTCGAGAACTACGTCTACCTCGACACCTCTCTCTACCTCCTGAGTGAGAGCGACTGCCGCCACGTCATCCTACCTAAGGCTCACTTCACAGCGATCACTTCGTTCGCACTACAGAAGGACTCCCCGTTGGTTCCTATATTTAATAAAATGTAAGGTTTGGGAAGAGTTGCTAGGTTAGGTGTGGCATTCCACTTTCCTTACGTCTTGAAATTCCTGTGGCTCATTTGCATATTTAATTTCAACCTGGCAGACACTGCGATGATCACAGTTTAAACATCTGGCATTCTACCTCTAACCTTTTTTATTTATTTTTTGTTATGTTTCTAATAGATTCATGTAGTACTCTTATTATTATGAGGGAGCGCTAAACCCGCAGGGATTATGCAGCGCCTGTAGGTGATGGAAGGCATTCAAGCTCAATTCAGGGAACTGGCGCACAGATCCAATTCCCTAGATCAAGAGTCCTTGACCAGCGTCAAGGAACCTCCCTTGAGGGTAAAGTCCCCTTCCTTAAAGGCAAAGCCTGACCATTTGTAAAGTACCTCATCCCTTTTACAAACTCAAAGACTCACCACAATGTATTCTCAGTTGCATGCACCTTTGTTATTGGACAAAATAGCTCCTTCTTGGTGTGATTATTTTCTTTCAATTCTTGCATCACTCCTCATTTCGTTCCCAGTGTTTCTCAGATTCATGCATTAACTGAAAGAACGATATTAACTGTTCAGTAACACATCATAAATTACATCTGTTTTCATAAAGATTATGAAATGTGTTTTTTTTTTTCAGAATTCTGAGAATAAAAGCTGGGGGAGTGTTACTTAACCTGGAGCGTAGGTGGAGACCTGACCAGCTCAATTGCGAGTTCACCCACGCCTCCGTCATAGGGATGGATGCTGTCTTCACGCCCTTCCTCCTGCTACTGCTCATAATGGTGCTTTCGGTGGCTGTGTGTGTCGCTGAGCACCTGTGGCGAGCAGTGTACACGAGGACCTCCACCATTAACACTGCTACTCACGTGAACCACACGAAGAACTCTCAGACTTTCTGATGATAGTGTGGATGTGAAAACTTCATTACTGTTTAACAAATTTGATTTCATGATTCTTAATGGGTTGGGAAAATATTTTTGTTAGTAGGTTTGGGTTCGAGAAAGACTTGCCTAGTATGGGCCAGTAGACCTGCTGTAGTGTTCGTCCTCTCATGTTAAGTTGTTTTCAGCCCTCAAAGTGCAAATATGTAGCGAAGTTTAGTGAATAATCTCAAGCAATGCACTCGGTTTCTCTAGGGACCCACAAAAGTCTGTTAACACCCAGGTAGCTACTCACTGGATGATGGACAGGTGTAAGCAATTTTCATGATACAGAATCGAACCCGGGTCACTCGAGTTGGGCAGAATCAACAGGATAAAGAAAGTTTAAGTATTTCTTTGTGAATGTTTTTATTTTTTACACTGTGAATTACATATCTATTTAATCTTAGGCAAAATAAACAAAATTTATAGAGCACAAACTCATAATTGACAAACGAATAAATGTCGACGTAAAAACCGTAATATAATTCCTGAATGGGGCAATCAAACTGTTAATAATGCTACTGCAATACTATCATTCATCAACCTGTCCTCCAAATAGAACGTCCGTCTTTGCACGCCTTACAGTGCGTCAATTTGTGGACGTTCTAACCAGTTTCAAAAGTTATATACTGTATATAGTATATAAGTTAGGATCGATTAGGTTACCCTAATCGAAGATAAATCAGCCTATACTTATGTAAAGTTGACTGCTAATAAGGAAATTGCATAAAAGGACAGCTTACGTCCGTAGGATACATTGTGGATGCCTCAAGCTTTTGTTTAAGCTGGAGGATGGGCTGCATTGACTAGTTCAACAGCATGTAACCCTGTGTCAGATGATTGGACCAACAGACCTAAATCCGGTGTCAGAAGACTGGATGGATCAACAGCCCTTAACCCAGTTTAGGTGGACTGGATAGACTAATTCTGCACGCTAACTACAGTGAACTATCGAGTGCAACCCACGAACATGGAGACTGACCGCTCACAGCACTTGTTAAAGGGTTATCTGATGCAGAACTTAAAGGATACCAAATATCAGTGTACTTTCAAACAAGGTTGTATATCGTTTTAACGCTCATAATTATGTTACCACTAAGTGTGTACACAGATATTACACCTACTAGAATAATTTAGTGTCTTTTTTATTCAGGTCTATCAGTTACTTAGGTCAACAGTTCATTTTAAGAAAGCAGCTTTCTCGCCAGCCTGCAGATCCCTCCATCATGCGGTAATTCTCACATATCAGAAACATCTTTGTCAGCGGTTGTAATTGGCAATTGGTTCCATGTGTTTGTTTCATTTATTTTGTCTTTGACTAACTAGCATTTTCCGTAAGTTCTTTGTTTCTCCTTCACCTTTCCTCACCTTGGAAGGAACTGAAATATATATATTTTTTTTAATCTTAGAATTTTTTTTCTCTCATTCTGAATTTTCATCCAGTGATAAATTCCCGATTCCCTTCATCATTTCTCATTAATTTATAGTTTGTTTTGAATTTCCCACCTAGACAAGTTCCAAACTTTTTATTAATGCTCAACCACTTAATGACCCCTTTTCTAACGTTCATGTATTTATTTCCCACACTGGTCTCAAAACAACATTTGTGGAAATACATTTCTTTAACACGAATCAGCCGAGGAGGATTTCAGCCTTATCTTTGTAAAATATTTACCACGAGAACTGATCCTTCTCCGATATTTCTCAGTTGTAAGGTTTATCCTCAAACTTTATTCTAATTTCTCCCATTTTTCGGTCAGGGAAATTCTCAGTTTTGGGTTAACTATTTTTACAGGAGTCTACGGTTCATGTGCATGTATTTCTCACTGGAGAAACCTCATCCGTCTACCATAGACTTTCCTCACGTTTTGCCTATTTGACATTGTTTACAACTAACCCATAAACTGCAGATGAAAACTAGAGGTTTCAGTGCATCCTTCTCTATTATGTGGCAAGTTTAGTGTTTTTATCCAAAATTTGTGGGATAATTGCTAACTGTTTCAGCCACAGTATAGTGACTTACTCTTTACAGTAGTACTTCACAGTAGCCATCTTCCTCACTAGAGTCACTCATCAAACAGCATCTCCTCTCTCCAGTTTCCTCACTGTGGAAGCTTGTAAAGCTGTGCTCTAGTAGTATCTCTCATCCGGCTGCAGTTTAACATCTACCTCACTAGCCTCCCACAGCTGCTTGGCCAGCTTCCTCTGTCGTGCCAGCTCCGTCGTCGCCGTGTCCTGAAAGACATACATAGGTGGTACACTCAGGTGCAGTGATACCTCGACGCAGTTATATGGTCAATGGTCCACAGGACTGTGATACAGCAGGATTGATACACCTGTACAGCGATAGAGGGTAATACTGCAGGTAGCCGTTAAGAATTTAGGAATAAAAAACGAAACAGTTGGTCAGTGATACAGTGCCCGAGTCTAGAGGACTCTGAAGAACGAGTGTGTGAAAGAGAAGTTACCTTGCAGTCGACAAAGTAGCTGCCGCTGACCCCTTCCACCTCCTCAGACACCGCCAGGTATATCACAGGTTCAGCCCCCAACTTGGCATCCTGCACCAGAGAGAGCTTGAGAGAGTGCAAGAATAAAACACACACACACACACACACACACACACACACACACACACACACACACACACAGCGATCAGGGCCCAATATATTACCTTTCTCAAGCAAAAGGGGTTTAAAGGTTCAAATTCAAAAGTTTTCTGATTTTTTCTAGCTATCTCTTTATCGTAAACCGAACGACCTTAATAAAAACCCAACAACTGCCTTGACTGACTCCCCCTCTCCCCCTTTTCCCACAGAAGAAAATTTTCCCCCCCGCAAGCCCCGCGAAAAAGGGGTCCCCCTAAACCCTTTTTAGAATTTTTTCCGGGATTACACAGCCGGGGGAAAACCCTTTTTGGCCGTCACACCCTGAAGGGAAAGCCACATGGGTTGAAACTCAAGTATATAAAACAATAAGGATGGGACACAAATGTGTGACTCAAGCATTCAAGTTTGCACAGTAGGGAAATTTGAGAGAGCTGCGGGAATAGGGGTTAGTTGGTAAAAAATTGAAGTCTAATTTTTTGGGAGACATGTTTTTTAAAGAGTGACAAAAATTTTTTTTTATTTCATTTTTGGGTTTAACCTGATTTAAGAGAAAAAGAAGTATGGTATTAGTGGGTAGAAAAAGGAAGTGAAAGAAAAATACTCTAAATAAATAAAAAAAGGAAAAACTGAGTATTGATAGGACAAAGATGTGTGGTGTTTTAACAGCATGGGGGTGAAACCAAAATTGGGTGTTGGGATGTATGTACCCAAAGCTTGTGAACAAATGAATAAAAAAATAAGAATACTGAGAAAATTGATGAGTTTAAAAAATTAAAAAAAAAGTGTGGGGGAAAAAATTTTTAATTCATAAATCATTTTCAACGTAAAAGATTAAGGAACCGTATTACTCACACTGGAGGTGTAATGAGCTCCCCAACCTTTAAAAAGTTTGGAACAATGCTACACTTGCTGAAACGGGTTTAACACAGCGGTTCCCCCAAACGGGTGAAAAATAAATTCCTACCCCTATTTTAAACTTCTTTCACTTTCCCCAACGGAGATGCATATCCTATTTTAACAACATCCCAGAAAAAGGCAACCCGCCCCAACCCTGCCCCCCAAAACCCTTAAACTCGACCGCAGCCCCTACCGTATCGTAACTTTCTCCCTGCCCCGAGTTTTTTAAACATTACCCCAGTCCTCCAATCGTCCCCCACAACTTTTAACTCCCTCACAGTTTCGAAACAGCATTCCCCACCTTTGTACCGAAACCCTAAAAACCTGTTTCAACAGTTTTCGGGGCCTTTCACCCATCGGACCTACCTGAAACCCAAAACCCCTTCTTCCCCAGTTTCATAACTACATACAAAAGTTTTTTAACCCTGTCCCCTTGAAGCTTCCCTCGTGAGCTCAATTGTAAAAAAGGATATTGCAGGTTTATTTTGGCCCGGGGTAAGCTGTCATGGGGGAGTAAAAAAGCCCCCCCCCCCGTTCAAATTAAGGCTGTCGGGGTTAAAGTTTTATTTACAAATCGTGGCTGTCAAAGTCAGGTTGATAATGGGCCGGGAGCGCTCTTTTCAGGAACCTGAGGGAGACAATGGGAAATAATGCTGAGGTTGTAGCAAAAAAAAGGAAAAAGAAATTAAATTTTATTTAGTATTTTAATTTTTAATAACTTTTAAAAAACAGTTTTATATATATATATATATATTTTATATATATATATAAATATATATAAAAAATTAAATATAATTTTTTTATATAAAATAAAATAATGTCTTTTCCCAATAGGCAAAAATTTTGCGATTTTGGGTTTAAATGGGAAACGCCCCACCCTTCCCCATATAGGACAAGCAAAATTTTGGGTGTAGAAATTTAAATTTTTCTCCAAAATCTTTGAACCTAAAAAAAAAATATATTTCACTGTTTTTGTTTAGAAATTAAATACTGAAAAACCAAACTAAAATATTTTTAAATTTGGGGGTTTAAAGGCTAAAAAAAATTTGTTTTTGTTATAATAAGGTTGGGCAATTTTTTCAAAGGGTTTCTTCTGGAGAAAAATTTAAAAAAATTTTTACATTAACATTAATAAAAAAATATTTTTTAAAAAAGTATAAGAGAAAATTTTAGAAAGGCCCAATATTTTTTAAACGAGCTCTTGCAAATTGCCCAAATTTTTCCCTATTCGCCGACAACACATATATAGGGTGAGGCTTGTGAAAGTTTTTAAACCCCCTAGAAAGCTATGCCGAAAAATCTTCATGCAAAAGAAAAATTTAAAAAATAAAAGGGCAAAAACTAACTCAGAGTGAAAGTTTGGTTTATTTTATATTCTACAAGGGGCAGGTGATAATAAATACGACTGGTAAACGAATAAATCTCCAACCCCCACTACACTTTTAAGTAACATCAAATTTTAAAATCAAAAACCCCCTCTCCTTTTTGCGGGTTATTTGTATTTTTGTTTTCCCGTCACGGGATTGTGCCTTTTTTTTTTTTTTTTCTTTATTCTGCCCTCGGTTTTTCCCCATATAAGGAAAAATTTAAATTTAAAATTTAAATCTTCAAGACTACGATTAAAAAAAAATAAACTTTTTTAAGTACTGAAAAAGACTATTATTTCCTGGGTATCTAAAAAAGAGGGAAAAAAAAAGTTTTGAAAGTTATATTTTTTAAAACTAGCGAAACCCAGGAAAAGTTTTACAGTGAGAGGTAAACTCTCAGTGTAAATATTTTATATTCGAACTATACAAACTCCCAATTTTGCAACTTAGACATTTTGGGAACATAGGGGGAAACTTTTTGAAGAAAAAGTTTTGCCACACAGTGGCGTTATCAGTCCTATACAAAGCCCGGAAGGGATAAGGAAGGAGTTATTAAACATCCCTCAGCCTGGATCCATCAGTCTACAAAAAGTGATGGACTGATTAATCGATTCCAGGGGTGAGGGCCCGATTTTCCTCAAAAAACTCCTCTCCTTATACCTTCCTTCCCTTTT